ATTAAGAAATCTCTTTTAACTCCTTAAACTTTTACTTTGAAAATTGATCCTTGTACTATTTACTAGGTTCAGTGTCTTCATCCTCACAAATTTTGTAAAATAATAAGCAGATATTAATTTGAATAGCGATACATCATATTTAAGGTATTTAGTCACTCATAAACTTATTTCAAATAATTAAGCAGATATTAGAGTTCAAATGTTGAAAAAACAATATGTAAAACATCAAATTTTAGGCATCTGTTCTCTTATTAATTGTTTTAAATTGTTAAAGACAATTTTAGTTGGAATAGGGAAAAGACAATTTGCAAAGATGAAATTCAAGGTAGTTAATCTCTTACCTTCCTCAAAAATTTCATTCAATGACTATTTTTGTTTAATCAATCAAGCAAACCTTTGAGATAATGAGATTCAAACTTAAAAATAGGTCAAGAATTTGACCCTTCAAATTAAAAGCTTAAGGGTCTAGAGTAAATTTGGTAATAGTACAATGAGTTATTGTGTATGTGTGATTGCTATTTTCTTTTATTAGACATTTGAAGGATAGAAGGATGCTTTCCAATCTACTATTATGTAGCTGAATTGTTAAACAAAATGATATAATCTATGATGTACGGAAGGAATGTTTTCCAATCTAGGGATGAGTTTAAGTTAGTTGTGGTCATTGGCAGTACCCAATATATCACACAAACAGAATATTGTGCTCAAAATCAATAAAAAATTCTGAAAACCATGGACAAGAAGATTCTAAATGTTGAAGTCATGAAACGTATAGCCAGGGCCTTATTCCACTCTTATGTGAGGGGATTTTTAAATATAGAGAAGGTATGGTATGTGGCCTTAGTCGGTGTCAAATACATGGTCTAGTTATAGCCATTGGCCCATGGTTTCCCCAGAATTCACAAAATAAGGCATTCAAGATCTTGTTTAGCATCTCCTGCCACTTTTGAATCACTTATTACGTAGTTGTAGTGCGAAGAAACAGACTGAGTTATACAGCCTAGAATTTTGTGCGGAGAATTTCTGTGTTGTTTGCCTTAGCTGTTACCTTTTAACTAGCTGGTGTTGCACCAGATACTATGTGCACCTTCTTCTTGTTGCAGGAAGCCAAGTCTTGAAATTGTACCGGAAATTTTCAAGTCAATGCAGTAAATGTAGAAGCATCATGCTTTCATCTTTCCCCATTTGAGTGGTATCAATAGGCCCGTGCAGAAGTTGCCTGATAACTTTAACAACTAAGAGCTATAACTTCCAAAAAGAGCTGCAAGGAATTATAGTTGTGTTCTTTGAGGAACAAAGACCCTGAAATGTATTACTCTTAATGTTTGAGCTGAAAAAATAATATTGATTTGCATGCTTGCTTTATTAGATTCTCCTAGAATAGCTTTATTCAAGCTTATAACTTGCAGAAAAAGAAAAGTTTTCCGATTTATTATTTTTGAAGGTTATAAAAACTGAAAATTTCGTGGACATTACCCATATAGATATGAATCTTTCACTAACTGATTTTATTTTCAGGTACCATGTCTCAGTGACAACTATGCATATCTTTTACATGATGTGGACACAGGCACAGTTGGAGTTGTTGATCCTTCAGAAGCTGTGCCAATTATTGATGCTTTAAGTAGGAAAAACCGGAATTTGACTTATATATTGAATACCCACCACCATCATGATCACACTGGTGGGAATGCAGAGTTAAAAGCAAGGTTTGGCGCAAAGGTATGAATTTGTCATCTCCTGGTAACTTTTCTGTCACCTTTTGACATATGAGACTGTTAATTGCCTCTCAAATGATTGACTTATAAATTGAGCAACTATCTCTAGTCTAATAAAGCCTCTGCATCTTGCCTTTAATGGTGGGTATTAATCATACATTGGGATCTTCTTTGTTTGATTGTTAGTTTGTAATGCATGTTGAGGTGGAGTTGAGGAATGCTAGCTCTTCTTTTCCCCTTGTTAAATAAAGTTTCTACATTTTTATGGATATTTTTTTCCTGCAAACAAATTTTTGATGAAAAGACAGGAGGATCAATGATATCCAAGGTTTGGTAATAGGATTGCAATGCATCCCGGTAATTCTGCAAGATTGAGTTCTTTAGACCACATTTGAAGCTCTGTAACTTTTTGGCTGGATAAAAAAAAAAGAATCTCTGTAATTCAAATGCCTTCTTTGCCTCAAGGTGTAACATTCTCAAAAAGAAATGTTCAAACAATAGCGGCCAAGGGAAAAATTAAATGGCTGTAGCATATTCCTACATGTTGAAACTTACTTCAATTTGATGCAGGAAATGGATCTTGGAATAGTTCAGTTTCCTACTTGATCTTTTTTTAACCGTTGGTAATATGAGGCTGAGAATTTGGATTACATAAAATAAGGAAATAAGAAAGGAGTGGGCAAGCTAGATGGAAGTAAACAAATCGAAAGGTCAGGGTAGGTTTTACTATGAGTGTTATCATCATACCAAATTATAATCATTGTGGATTATGCTCCATACAAGATCATGACTCCAAAGTTTGAACTTAAAGAATTTGCAATGGTTGGCAAATTATAGTTGAAAAAATTAAGTTTCTCCATGCAGAAACAAGTATGCTTTGGATTATCATGTTCAAAGAATTTACATTGAAGACTTGAAAAACACTTGTGTATCGTTTTTTTCAGTTATTCTTAGCTTTCCATTTTTGTTTTTGTATCAAGGTATATGGGGTTATGTTTGAAAGATTATATATATGTGTATAGAAACATTCTTGTTCATAAATCTGTTCAGTTTTGTGATGCATGCAAGCTTTTGTAAAGTTTTACATTGTGTAACCAAAAAAGAAAGTTTTCACACTGTTCTGGTTTCCATGTAGGTGATTGGTTCAGGAATAGACAAGGATAGGATTCCTGGAATTGATATAGTGCTAAATGATGGGGACAAGTGGATGTTTGCTGGTCATGAGGTGCATGTCATCAAAACTCCTGGTCATACCCGAGGTTAGATTTCATTACTCAATTTCATTGGTGAAATCACATGAATTAGAAACTTTTGATCGTTTCAAAATTCAATAAAAGAACACTTGAATGTGGAAAAGTCATGATTGTGGTTCTGCATTTTCTTGTACCTTGTACTTTAAAACATTTTATTCTCCTTTCTTTATGTTTAGGAAATTGAAATTTGCTGCATGCAGGCCATATTAGCTTCTATTTCCCTGGTTCTGGAGCCATATTTACTGGAGATACTTTATTCAGCTTGTCATGCGGCAAGCTTTTTGAAGGAACCGCAGAGCAGGTAATTTCGACTTCTACCTTTTATGATGTTTTAGTTGACACCCTAAGTTCAACTACTTCACCTCTTTTAATCTAGCTAAGAAGTTCAACAAGTTACAAAAAGATTAAAATATTAACAGATGTAAATGGGTTACTATGTCTGGGAGAAAAATTTTGAAGTATTTTTTCTTGTTATTATGCTTTGAACTTAGTCATCATTTTGAGAGGAAAAAGTTGAAGTATTAGTTGCAGAGTTGTATTTCTGTGAAGTAGTAGTTCAATCATCTGCATGGAGGTTTGCCATATAATTCCACTGGAAATGTGGTGCATGAGAATATATTAACTGAAATTGTAGATGTGGTTTGGTTGTTAAAAGTAACTTGGTCCTTGAGGGGTCTTTTTTTATTTTGCTGTTCTTTTTATTTTTGCATGTGGTCTTACTATTTTGAACACTTGTTGCCTTTAAGTATACTAATTGAAGATTTATGAAGTTAAATTCATGCCAAATAATTGTATATTTCTGGTAGTATATATTATGATCCTTTATAAATCTGGAAAATCTTCTTCGTTGTTCTTAATACATATTTTAACTGCTGATTTCTGTCCAACAGATGCTTTTGTCCCTTCAGAGGATCATGTCTCTGCCTGATGATACAAATATATATTGCGGTCATGAATATACTTTGGTTAGTCATATTTATCTTTTGGACCCAACCACTTAATTTTTTTTGGCTCAGATTTCTGAAAGGCATTAATCATGTGTGCACCCATTTTGGCAGAGTAATTCAAAATTTGCATTATCTATAGAGCCCAAGAATGAGTTGCTCCAGGCTTATGCCGCCCATGTAGCCCACCAGCGCAGCAAGGGATTGCCTACGGTAATTTCTGGGACATTTTTTGTTTTGTTAACTAATTTGTAGGGCCTTTTTAGAGGTTTAATTGTCAAAATTGTGCTGGTGAGTGTTATTATTACTAGTATTATTTTTGATAATCTATGATTAGATAATGAAATTGTCACAAGTGAGAATGATTTGTTTGAGCTAAGGGGCATTCTTTGCTGTAATTTTTTTTTTAATTTTTTATTTTAAATTTCTGTATGCATAGACTTAATGGTTTTTTTATACTCGCTCTGTTTGTATCAGTGCAGTGATCTGCTTGTCTTTTTGAATGATTTAAAGTTCTTACATCATATGGTTTTGTTTTTTCTCATCTGCTATGTGGGACTATCTGTTGGTTCAACTCTAACCTAGTTATATTAAGTGGTTTAGATAGAGCATAATCTCCATTTTGTGACTTTGGTATGACCTATTTTTGCTTTATGATTTTGGTTGTGTAGTGCATCACATTTCTTGATTCAACAATTTATGGAAGAGCACTGGGCCGTGGCTTGACTCAATCCCCTCTATTCCTTATGCCTGATGCTGGTGCATTTTAATCTAAATTTTCCATGATAATTTGACGATCAATGTGCTCTTTCACTTTCAGATTCCAACTACACTAAAGATGGAGAAGGCATGCAATCCATTTCTTCGCACATCTAGTGCTGAGATCAGGCAGGCATTAGGTATTTCAGACACCGCGAGTGAGGCAGAAGCCTTGGGTGTTATCCGGCGAGCAAAAGATAATTTCTAGGAGTAGTTAATACTCAGATTCCTGTTTGTGTATAGGTGATTTTAGCTCTTCCATACGTGAAATAAACACTACCAGTGTTTACCATGTCTATATATTCTTTCGAATTTGTCGAAGTTCTTACCAAATTTGAGTATATTTCAAAGCTAATTTGAACAAATCATTTGCTTATCTACACGACAACTTTCTTCATTTGAGAAACACCTCAAAGAACTCAAACCGAAGAAGCCCTAGTAATCAGTAGAGATTAAGCCGAAAACCTTGGTATTAACCTGGGATAAGAGTGGCAAAAAGAGAATGAAGAGAATTGTGGGCAAAAAACAATCCCCAATTGATGACATTTTGTTGGGGCCGTAATGTATTTGCTGGGTTTGGTGCCCATGATGAAGCAAAGGCATTATTTTGGGTCTGTTATGGCAATATCTTTTCGGTAGTATGTCAAAACATGACAAGTAACTAAGCAAAGGGCAAGGCAGCCAAGAGATGATCCGACCTTGGTCGTCTTCCACGGCGACTTTCCCATAGAACACCGAAGAATATCTTTGACGTCGGACTATAAATTAACATATATAGTTTTAAATATTAGGCAATTTTTTATGTACAATAATGGTTACGAACCCTTTTTCGATCAAAATATAAGATATTAGGTAATATATTACAAGTAACAATGATAATTTAACGCAGAGGGGATTTATATTTGGGGTTTTGAATGAAGACAGAATTTTTCATTTTTCTCTTTCATATTGAAAGGGTCACAAGAAGGAGAAGTGTTAAGCTTTTTATTACTGAAAGCTCAGCAGAATCCACTGCGTTCATGGATTTGATAATCTTTCTTTAGGTCTTATTGTCTTCGACAATCCTCTTGATAAAGATATTCTTTTAGTGTTTCATCGGTTGTGGAGACCTGGGTTTGCAATGCAATCAACGTTGGTGTATGGAGAAGAGGTGGTACCGGTTGCTGAACGGAGGCTGGCAGTGCTTCACAGAAGAGATATATGACACCGTGAACATAAGTTTTCATCGAATCTTTCTCTAACAAATAAAATAATATTCAAAACTTATAGCTTCATAATTATTTACAAATTATGCAAAATCTGCAAGTAAAAGTAAAACGATGAGAAGCAAGTGACGGATTCAAGCATTGTTAATGATTTACTGGTGCTTGGCGACCTTCAACGGTTGCTCGAACCTCTCGGATGTGCAAGCGATCGTAATCGGCCCATCAATCTTGGTATCAAGATCATCATCTTGCGATCGAATGAGCAGTTCTTGAAACGCTGGAGAAGAAAGATACTTGATCGGAACTTCGTACCTCTTCGCCTTTTCGCCCACGTACATCGCTACGTAACCTCTTCGAGCTTGAACGGCTTTGGTGTCCTCAGCCTCCGCCAGCCGACTGTAGGGAAGCTTGGGCTTGCTAAGACCAAGCTTTTTGACTAGCGAACCCATTTTGGATGCTGAATACATTGCAGAATCTGAATGAACTTGTCTTGATTTTCAAGGCTTTAGCGCAAGGTTATGGAATTCTGAGCAATTGAAGAGAGGGAGGGCTAGCTCTGGTTTATGTAGCCAGGGCTTCTCTCGACGGCTGCTAATACTTTCCTGGTGAGGAGATGATTTTTAGTATTGAAAGCATGCTTCAACTCTTTCAATTTTTTGGGATACGCGTCAGTAGTTGATTGGTTGTTGGGACTTCACATGAAGTGCCATATTAGAGTTAGAAGAGTGCTTATCATTTGCTTTTGAGTGGAACCGTGTCAGCCAAACACTATTGATATCCCAAAAATTTAAACTCTATTTGTTTCTGTTATTTAAGTTTATTATTAAAATATATCAAAATTATTTTAAAATTTTTAATATATTTTAAAATCAAAATTTTAATTAAAACATATTATAATATAATAATATTTTTAGATCCGATCAATATCTAAAAGCTTTTAAAGTGAGTCTAAAATATATGTTTAAAGCTTAATTCATGAACACCTCTGTTTGACAAAAGGTAACATATATTACCATTTCATGATACCAAGATTCTTATTAAGCCATTAAATTATCATTTTGTAAAAAAAAAAAAAATTAAGGATTTTGTTTGTAATCAGAAAATAGGTTTAAAATGATACGTGAAAAAACTTCATAACTCTTACACCAATGACAGAGGATCGATGTCGAAAACCAAGTAAATCAGGGACCTCTAAGCCTTAACACTAAGTGTAGATGAAGGTATTCTAGTTGATTTTAGACCCTCAAATGCCCTCTTGGTAATACAGTCTAATCAAGGTTATGGATCTTTTATAAAGTTGATTATTGACCACCGCATACCACTGTTGTGTATTAATGCTGAAGGCTAACACTCTGTGACTCTATTAGTGTAACAAAACAGTAGTCATTATCATTAATCAAATCTATTAACCGGAGATTTGCTTGGAGTTAACATTAATCATCAAGGCGTGAATTAAATGGTTATATATTTTGATAAACTTTGTTTAAGTTTTAATGTCTTCGACAATCCTCTTGATGATGGAATTAAAGTTAGTCTTTTGGTGATTCATCGATGTCTTTTTTATATCTATTTAACACTTTAGCTTTATTTGTCCTTATACCTAAAGAATAGCAGTTGTTAAATTCGTGGAGATTTGGGTTTCTAATGCAGTCAACGTTGGTGCATGGAGAAGAGGTGGTGCCGGTTGCTGAATGGAGGCCGGCAGTGCTTCGCAGAAGAGATATATGACACCATGAACATAAGTTTCGTAGAATCTTTCCCCAGCAAACAAAATATTCAACACCTATAGCTTCATAAATATTTACAAATTATGCAGATTCTGCAGGTAAAAGTAAAACAACGAGAAGCAAATCACGAATTCAAACGTTGTTAATTCCCATTAAAAATTAATCCATTAAACTGTTACAACCCCTAAATATCTGTGATTAAGTTATCAACCTAACAATTAATCAGAATAAACAAATACTTGAGTCAATTCTAGTTCTTGATATAGTAAAAGCTACTGCATGTGCAATCAATGGATGGAACATATATATATAAACAGGCGGAGATACATTTCAGACAAGCAAATAAATCAACCAAATGACCAAAAAAAATAAAAAGTAAAGAAGAGAGAGGCATCAAATTTACGTGGAAAAA